TTTTAACGAATTTTTCTGCCATTTAAATATATTTTCCATTATTTCTGGCCTAATAAATCGTTTTTTGCATTATATCTTGGTAAGTGTTTACGTTAACCAGTGTCTTTATAATTATTGTATAAAATATAGAACATGTGTATTGCTATATATACAAACATATCGATAGTTGCTTCAGTCTTGATCTTAATTATTTGTTTTTAGTGAGATTGAGATAGCATGCATGAATGGAGAATTACCATTTTAAAAAGACTAGTGTGATTATTTCTATAATTATATTACCGTTTTGACCAATTATGAAATTAAGTTCAAATTTGGACCATTTCTAAAAGTATGTTACTATATTGATCCTATAATAACCTTTTTTTTTCCAATTTTAACAACCTAAAAATAATTACATGTTGACAATGAACTTGAAATTCGTGACAATGAACTTCAAACTGGTATAAACATATTTTCTTTAATTTTCATTAATATGTATTTTGCCAGTTGCATGTATGCATGTGCACCATTTTTGTGTTTTTATTGACATCGAAACCAATTAACTAAAAGCTTCATTTGAGATTGTCTTTGCCAATTTGTTTCAGTTAGCATATGTCGATTTCCTTTTGGTTGAAAACAAGGCATGACATTACGTTTATGATATGGAAGTTAGTTCAACGGTCATACAAGAAACGGGTAAATACAAGATAAGACATTATATTTTTCATTGATTTCACTTGAGCATTTTCATTTTGGACCAATTATGTATAAAGATTTGGTTGGTTTTCAAGAAGTTAATTTATATTGATAGATTTAATGGCTATAAACTCATAAATTTAATGGCTTATATTTGCATTTAGTTACAATGAAATTAATTGGATTGTAAAGGTAATGTATAAAATGTTATTGATAGTTAAATTTGCATTTAGTTGCAATGAAATTAATTGGATTGTACTTAAAAATGTAATGTATGAAGTGTTATTGATCCTATCCAACAACGGTATGGAGAGATAGTTCACAAGGAAAGTGGAATCATATATGCTTTTAATGTGGGACTAGAAAATAAGTTTAATTTAATCAGTTCAATGTAACTCAATAAAATCTTCTCGTTTTGCCTATTTATTTGGCGTATCCAATACTACAAAGTGGGATTCTTTCCTAGTTTTAACTAAAATCAAGCTAGAACGTCTCTGATACAAATATGGTTATGAGGTTCCAAAACTATTCTTATGCTAAAATGCTTAATAGTATTTACTATTTAAATATTTGTAATGAAGCACCAACATCCTTTTTCATGTGGGATGGGAATGGGAATGAAATTCACTTGTAGGCACATTCAATCTTAATTTTCCATCTTTTTCTTTTATTATATAATATATTTATAAAAATATAAAATTTATAAAAATATAAAATTTATAAAAAAAAGATGATCTTCGAATTGAAAGTTTTGACCTAACCATATTCATTTATTTTTCTTGTAGTGTCATGTCAACCATATTATTTAAATATATTGAAATCTCTTATCTAAACATGTTTAGTTTGTGTTAGGTTGTCGTGACGTGTCGGATATTGTCAATCTTACTTGAATCGGACCAATCTAGAATTAGCATTTTATATTGACCAAAAATTGGACCGAATATTTATATATGGTCCCGATTTGGTTTTGGTTTTAGTTTAGATTTGGATTTTTGGAACCAAGATTTAGAACCGAATATCACCTCTGAAACTATGTAAATCATCTAAAAAACTTTATCACATAATACCTTTCGTGCTTTTCATGTCAATAAAAAAAGTACCAGAAAGTGTAAACAAAAATAGGCATACTAACTATACTATACTGACCAATTTACATAATTACATATATATTTATTATGTATATGTCACTTTTCGCCGAGTTTTGTGGGTCGTTTAGTCTTTGTTCTTATCAATCCGAGTTGGACATTGGTCACCTGTTGTTGTAATGTGCATATCTTTTGGACATTTCGTTTTCTCAAATATTCCATAGTTTTAACAAATGTCAAATGACATTAAAAAACTACATGTTAAGTACAACAACTTAAATTTATTCTAAACGAAACTCATGCATGATTAAATATACTTGATAATACTTATAGTACAATATTTATAAGTTTACTTAAAAAATACTTTGAAATATATGTTGGGATCTCAGTCAACTAGTTATCATACTTTCTTTGGTTTAATTGTTTATAAGTTTATAAAAACTTCATGTTAATATATTAGCTAAAAGATTAACATATTAATAAAAAGTATATCTAAATATTCCACATATATATATATATATATATATATATATATATATATATATATATATATATATATATATATACAACATCGTTCATTTGACCTTTTTTGTTTTTTTCAATTGAACTTACATCTATCTCTCTCTCTCTCTCTCTCTCTCTGTGTGTGTGTGTATATATATATATATATATATATATATATATATATAAAAAACTAGGTTCAAGTATTCTAACTAGTTATTGTGGGGATATCGTATGCTATACGAATTACTAAGATAATAAGTTGTTAAGCAATACGAATACGTTCAACCTTACAAAAATATCGTCATTTCAATGCATTCTCACTAATTATTATTTATTTTTGTTCTCACACATCGTTTTTCACTCATTTTCATTCTGACAAAATACGATCCAATAAACATTGTGACAGAAATGAGAATAATAATAATAAGTGTATAATAATCTTATAGACGATTTAATAAGTGAGAATGTGTGTTAATAACAATAGTTATGTAAGATTGAACGTATTCGCATTGTTAAACAACTTATTCTCTTAGTAATTCTCATAGCATATGATATACACACAATAATTAGTTAGAATAGAATAACCTATATATATATATATATATATATATATATATATATATATATATATATATATATATATATATATATATACTTACTTTTATGATTATTAACAAAGTCTGAAAATAATAATCATTTTATACCTAACTCAATCGGCATCTATAAAATGCAAGGTTCTAAAAAGTTTATCATGGTTTCGCCATAGCACGGCTCCAAGGCTTGTACTTGCTGCCAAACTTTAACAAAATGTAGTCTTAAGTCATATATATGTCTATATATATATATATATATATATATATATATATATATATATATATATATATATATATATATATATATATACTCACTTTTTATGATTATTAACAAAGTCTGAAAATAATAATCATTTTATACCTAACTCAATCGTCATCTATAAAATGCAAGGTTCTAAAAAGCTTGTCATGATTTCGTCATAGCACGGCTCCAAGGCTTGTACTTGCTGCCAAATTTTAACAAAATGTAGTCTTAAGTCATATGTGTATATAAAAATAAATAATATAAGAAAATGCATATAAAATATTAATTATATACAAAATCGTCACCTTAAGTCAAGCATTACAAACGACGTGGTTCACCAATGCTCGTAAAAACTTGAGGCTTGACATTGTCGTCAAAGTCGGATCTTATGTTATTTAGAACCTTGATAAAATGTGTCATGAAGACCATGTAAGTATTCATGGTCAAATAAAAGATGTTGGTTGGACTACCTAAGAGCATCCACAATGGTAAGTTCAATGAGACAGATTAATGAGGTGACATATCTAGTTGAAAATCAATTGATGAAACTCTACCATAGTGAGATGTCACATTGATATTCAATGGATTTGAAGTTCAATGACCATTGAACTCTTCAATAGAAAAAAAAAATAGAAAAATAAAAAAGTAAAAAAAAAAAAGTTTTGTAATCTTATATATATACTATAAATTAGTTTTTGTAACTTACTATTAAACTTTATAGAGTTCGATGCATTATAAGAAAAAATGATAAAGTTGTTTTGAGTGTAAAAAAAAATGATATGGCAATCCATTGAACTCTATCGAGTTCAGTGTATTGTGGATACCCTAAGTAATCAAACAATGTGTCTCTTTCATGGATGGAATACTTTGCACATCCTAACTAATTTTATGCATGAAGACAAACTAATCTTCCCATTTAAAGCCCTAGTATACTAGATAAACGCTTTATTTTAACAAATTTAAAAAGTAGTTACCCACAACAAATAAGTTGAACAAAGTTTTTCTAATTCAATTCTCATCATGTTGCCATGTGCTTAGAGTACTTTCCCCATTAGATTCTTGCTGTGTCGCCAAACCAACAAATAATAACGGGTTTAAAACATATTGCTAGTTGTATCAAGAGATAATATAGCTTAAACAAAGACACAACTATTGTTATATATACATCTATGTACAAGGTATAAGGTTTAGTCGTGACCCAAAAATAAATGACAATTAATATAAAAGAGGAGGGTTATTAAAAGAAATAAAATAATAACAAAATAAAAAATAAAAAATAAAAAATTGTGGTTCCTTGCTTGTTTCAACAATCAATTGTGAATTGATGTTTAGATATTTTTTAAACCAAAATTGGTACTAAGTAATATTAACAAGTTATAATATCATTTTTGGTATCTAGTTAAAACAATCTTTTTAACTACATCTAGCCTAACTAACCCTAATCCAAAAAACCTCTTAAAATAAGATTAAAAAGTTTGAATTAGATTCTTACAATTATTCCCAGTTTATCTAATACTTCTTTTAAGCTCCAAATCCTAAAAATATTCGATTTTATGTTTACAACAACATTAAATCCTAACAAAGAACCAATTCATTTTTTGTATACAAGTCGAAAAGTTGCATTAGATTTGATACAAGTATTCCTAAAAATATTTACTACATCGCATATAAGTTCGAAAGCCTAAAAATATGTAATTTTATATATAAAACAAAATTAAATCCTAACAAGGAACCAAAATCATTGTTTGTACACAAATTGAAATGTTGCCAAATTTTTGGATTTTGCTTTTTAGGCAACACCTTCAGAACGAATACATTGGTTATGGATGCTCCGCCAGTGGAACATTGTTGCGGCATGCCACAATCAAATGTCATTTTTGAAATGTGAAAAAAAAAAAAGGATATGAAATATTAAATATTAGGAAAATACCCCACAATTCAAAACCAGGTATGAAATGTATCTGATAATTTGAGAAAATAACTAAACAAAACGAATTATCGAGATTGCAAAAATAACCGATATTGCAATAATAGAGATCATTTTTGAGTGGTGTGGTTCGTGTCTTTTACTAGGACTTCACTTGATACACAAGGCACAAATCCAACCAAAACACACACACACACAGAGCTCGATTGAGAAACCTTTCAACAGCCTAAATAATTAACTATCATTGGCTTCCAGTGGCAGACCACTGAATGCTGAAATATTCTTAATCGACTCCTCTTCCATCTCAACCAGCCGTCTGCAGAATGTCTCCACATCTCTTGCTTCTTCCTTCAAAACCAATCTCAACTCCTTCCATTCGTATTCCTCCATCGTGGGTCCCACCACCTTCCCCAACAAGTCCAGCCCTTTCCTATCTACAGACACCACCACTGCGTCCTGCACACGTGAAACATCAGAGACCCGGGACAGAAATTGCTTTTTTTTTTTTTTATCTCTCATCTGTGCAAAAAGACGTGAATGCCCTTCTCGTTCTTATAATCGAAAAAATAGCTTTTAGAAAGACGTGAATGAGTATGGTGTTTGAGATCATACATACCTTCACATTCTTATTCAAGTATGTAGCACAAAAGATTATGAGGGCTCGACGTCTGCCTTCACTTTGATTAATTCCATCAATCAAGCTTCCAGAAAAAACCGCTACAAAAATACTATAATCAATTAATCATAAAAATCAACTACATTCTCCTTATCCCATATATATATATATATATATATATATATATATATATATATATATATATATATATATATATATCATCCCTAAACAATACAATTTACTTTACTCAAATACCAATGCATTTTCTTTTTTTACCCATATATGTACATTGTTATACAAATAGGTTGCTACTTCCTTAGAATAAATGCACATGTAAATATCAATATATCATGCATGCATGTGTACAAAAACACTTACACAAGGGGTCAGCCTTTGATTCTTCCATATCCTTCAAATCCACTTCATGACTGCTTCCCTTTCCTTCTATGTAACTGATTGAACTGCATGTAAAAAGACTTCTTTTATCAAATGCAAGTCCACATTAGCAATATATGTATCTAAAGGCATATTCTTACCTTGGATTAAACTTATAAATCCGGTATTGTTGATCTTCTTCATTCAATAGGTCTTGGAGATTTTCAGCACGAGATGTAGATCTGAAGTTAGATGAGCTTAATATACCAGAAACTGAATAACTGAACTCTTTAATTGCCTCTGCTTCTGATATTATCATCTCTCGAAGGCTTTCTGCAGCTGACTTTGCCTGACACAATTCCATAAATAATACTAGATTTAAACATAAAGACCATCAGCAAATCTGTATTAGCTAAATTCTTAATCATGCTTGAAAGATGAAAGTTGAAGACTTGAAGCAAAATTAGACAACTTATGTTTAGCTTATGAAATTGTACCTTTTTATCACCAAGTGGAAGGACTTCACCAACAAGAGCAATCCGATTAGGAGGCTGTAGAAATAAGAGACTTTTGGTTATTAACTTATTATAATTGGGATTAAGACAACATAGTTTGGTTTCAACTTTCAACACTCTCATTCAACTCTCAGATCACAAAGCTTTGTAGGTTAAAGAAAATTAACTGACCTTCTTCAAAGAATGAAGCAGACTTGCAAGTGACCCTGGTAAGGGACTTGTGACAGCCAATGAGCCACGTTCATCTATAACTGTATTCTTTTTTAGAAAAATACACAAATAAGAACACTAGAAGGCCATATCTAATGATGTACAATAATTCAGATTATGCATTTTTCAAAGAAAGTAGAAAAGATTACCACCCCTATTCTAGTGTAAATTATATCACTCAGACAGGTTATAAGAAACTTTTATTGACAAACAAGCACACGGTGGTAGAAATTGTTCATGGTCTAATCAATTCATACCACATTATGCAGGTCATCTTCAGGTACCCAAATGTAAGGCCTCCCCTTCTTCACAAAGTATTTTACTTTTGAACTGTAAATTTCTTCCTTGCTGTAAAAGGAAACACACACACGCACACAAACAAAGCCGTATGTAACGACTGATTAATACACTTAAAAAGTAGGATATATACACTCATACGATCGCTATAAGATTGCATTACCTAACAAAATCCTAATAATCAAAGCAAATAAAATTAGATCGGTACCTTCCGGTAGCATCAGCCTTAACTGTATTGAGACTACCTTGCCAATTTGACGCCAATATATTCTGCAAAAATACGATCATCACTCTCATACCAATTTGACAGGTGTGGTTTAGAGAGAAATTTTGTTATATACCTTGCATTTTTCAGCGAATGTTAGAACAGTAGTTCTGCTCCCCTTCATCGTATTGAAAAGCGAGTGACGCACACCAACTGTTTGATATAATTACTCGGAGAAAGCAAGTAACGAACATGCACTGACGCAGCCTCGGCTACTAAACCGAGCTAGCAAGGCCGGGTTGAGTCTTCCGCGGACGTGTGCGTTTGAGAGAGAGAGAGAGAGAGAGAGAGAGGGTTCAGGGTTTTGCAACAAGCACCGTAGCAGGGTGTCGACGGGCACAAAGCCTTCTATCGTAATCATATAATTAAACAACAATTTAACGAGTATTTTTTTTTTAAGGCAAATACTAATGAGAAATTAAATTGATTTCTACTTTTTATACCTACAAATATTCCTACCCAATAAAATTGTGAGAAGTGTCATCATTCCATATTTATTTAACTAACTCATTAAGGCTATATTAGGAATATATTAAATACAATTAAATTGAATGATGATTTGTCATAACTTTAGTGGGTAGGAATAATTGTAGGTATAAAAGGTAGGAGGTAATTTAATTTCTCAATACTAATATATACCAATATTGATAAGTTCAATAAATTTATATTTTGGGAAATTAAAGATCTAATCGTTTTTCTAATGTGTATTTATACATAGCAACTAAAAAAATTAACAAAAATAAATTTTTTGTCCGAAATAGGCGTTTCGAACAAAAAAAATAAAAAGATATTTTTTTAATCAATTTTAGAATGATATTCTGGATTCCGAACCAAGATTTTGGCTTTTGGAAAATTAAAAAAAAAAAAAACTGCTAAAATTTTAAGAACAAGTACGAAATTCAAATAAAAAATCCATAATTTCAAGAAAAAAATCATTTTTTTTGTTTAATTTAGCAATAAATTAAACAAACATAGATATATATGAAGTATATATAATATTAGTGCATAAAATTTGATATTTATTGAAAAACAATAACATGAAATATTATGAAATATATCATTTGGAATCCTAAAAAAACAAAAAATCTATTTGAAAATTATTTATAAATAAATACATAAAAATAAAAAAAACTCCGGAATATAAACAGTATTCTGAAATGAGGGCATTCCGAAGAAAACTGTTATTTTTTTAAATACTGAAAAAAAAAATTAAATTTTTTTTTTTTTGAAAACTTCATTTATAATTGTTAGATTGCTCAATTTCCCTTATATTTATATACAAGAATAATTTATCTCAACGAGTATAAAAAAATAAAATATACGGTAAATTTTACTACTAATAATTTTTTACAATGTTATGTGGAAACACCGACAGGCTCATCTAAACAAGTTATGTGGAAACACCGACACACTCATAAACTGTAGGCTGTGAATTATGAGTTCATTCGATGTAGTCAGTGTTGCAAAACTCGGCCGATTACTCGGAATCGGCCCTTAACCGAGGCGAGTAATGTGAACTCGGCCAAAAAATTCGGATTTAGAAAAACTCGGTCAAAAATCGGTCAAACTCGGTCAAAGGGTCAAAATTGTCATAAAAAGAGAAAAAAAAAATAAGAATTTCAAGATTAATATGTATAACACATTTAATGATTTATTATTTAACACACATGTGATTATTAATATATATATATATATATATATATATATATATATATATATATATATATATATCTTAAATTTTCAGTAATTATTTACATAGTGAGACAATTGTGTGTATTTCAGTTTTTATATATTCACATGTATCTAATTTTGGTTATATATTCCAATCAAATTATGATTTTAACTTATGATTTTGGCATATACTAAAAAATATATTTCTACACAAATATCGAATCCGAGTACTCCCCGAGTAATCCCTAGTACACGCTACTCCCCAGTCGGCCGAGCAGGTACCAAGTAGCGATTTCTACATCCTTGGATGTAGTAACTACGAATTCATGCGATGCTACTCTAACTCTTATTGGACACGTATTGGGGGAGTAATCCCCAAATCAATACTGTCTATGTGATGTAGGCGATGATCCTTAGGAAATATCCCTAACAATAAATCATTATGGAATAAAAAATAATAAAACGAGGATAATAATTGGGTTAATTGTTTGATAAATAAACCATATGTACTCACTTTCTCAATTTGATCTACTCAGTATACTTGTATCATAGGTACTGATGCAAATATATATTATATAGAGAGATTAAATAAAATGTAGATCATTGATGTAAATTAACGTAAGTTCTATTTATCCTTATGTTTTATATTAGTTATGACATCCCAAGTTTTAAAAAATATCAATATTGAACGTCTCTTCGAAAATGTTTTATTATCTCACATTGAAATATTTGGGACCAATTTCGTAACAAAAGAAATACTTTGTTTTAAAATAAACATAAATAAAACTTTTAAATGACTATAAATTTGGGGATGTCATATCTAGGAACAATTTGGATGAGGCAAAAGGGCTAATAGATGACATGCTCGTCATGCAAGAAAATATAGTAGCCTCCATTGTCACCTACAAGATAACAATGAGGAATCTTCCCGATGAATAAGGTTGGAGTATATAGACGCATGAAGTAGATAGTTTTAATTTGTCTATATTTTCATCTCTTTTCTATGTATTTATCTATCGGAGTCCTTACGAAGACTACCTAATGAAAAATCCATATATTACTTAACCTCTACATCTAACAAATAACAATGCATGCAACAAAACCAAAAAAGTCTAATCATGGAGAGCACGAGTTTTTTATTCTATTAGTTTATGTAAAATATTGGGTTGATATGTATACGATGAATCAAAATTTTACACCCCACGACTCTATCGTACATACAACAACTAATGTTTGATTGGTTTACTCTTTAAATTATTAAATTGTACAAAAATCATCTACACCGCACCAAACGCATCGCACCGCATAACACGGTTTATAACTTTTGCGATGCGGGTTGTTGACTTGTGGTTTCCGAAAGTCTCAAACCGTACATGCGGTACAATTTTAATCCTAAACCGCATCAAACCGTCTGCCCACACCATACAAATAACCACAGAACTTGCAACCAATACCCACCATTAAACACCTGGGTGGTGTTTACATTAGTGTTCGTGACTAGCTAGACGATTAATATGTTGGTTGCATGCACTCCAATTGGTCAAAGATCCAAATCAAAATTTTAAAAACCTTAGTTAGATTACTTAATTTCCCTAGTTTTAAATATTTGATATTAAAACAGTAGCAGCATTTTAATTAGATTCTAGAAAAGTTAATTGTAACATTAATGGTTTAGAATGTCAAAAGTCGTGTGATATTTTTTGAATTGTAGAACTTCGGTGTACTTTCTGCCAAGATCAAGGGACTGTTACCACCGGTTCCAAGCGACCGCAACCTTTCAATCGCCGGTCCGGAAAGATCTGAATGGCGGATGATGATGATTTGCTTTGGAGCTCTTCTACGGATCGAGGCTCAGAAGTTCAATTGTTCGATAGAAATCGACACATAATGTATCTGCAGATGAATTACGAGATATTGCCATCAGGATATGAGGGTCAAGAGATCAATCGTCTTACACTTGCTTACTTTATCATATCCGGTCTCCACATCCTCCATGCGCTAGATCATGTGAGCCCTCATCGCCTATTTCCTTGATATGTAAATCATTTGTTCTCGTTTATTAGCGAAAAGCTGTGATTTTTGAACTGATATTGCTAAATTAGGGTTATTAGTTGCTTGAAGTAATCTGCTCTCAGTTTCCGAGTGTTCCTCAATAGGAATTGACTTAGAAGTTAATTACTCAGTTGGCTGAATAATAGCATTCCGAAGCTATTATTCTTGTGGCGTGGCCAGTGTTTAATTAATACATGTGTGGGATTACAGATTTCCAGGGGAATTGACTCTACAAACATATTAATATGATATTTTCTAATGATTATTTAGGTCGATAAAGAAGCTGTTGTCAATTGGGTTTTGTCATTACAAGCTCACCCTAAGAATGAAGCCGAACTAAACAACGGTATGAATTATGGATTTGCCACTTTAAAACTGCACAGTGTTCCTCCTCTCTTTCATCACCACAATGTAGATATCACTAAACCTATTCGTGGGTTGTTTATTGCAGGACAATTCTATGGATTTCATGGCTCTAGAAGTTCTCAGTTTCATTCTCTTGATAATGAGGTATAAAGTCAGGTTATCACTATGTATTTATTCAAGAATTCACCTGTTAAAGAACTATCAAGTTTTCATTTTTTTATAGTTCAGTTGTATTTTTCTCACTCTGCTATATGTTTACAGGTCTCAGTTCCTAATAACAGTCATTTGGCAAGCACATACTGTGCATTAGCCATACTAAAGACAGTTGGCTATGACTTTTCACTTGTCAACTCTACTTCAATTTTGAAGTCAATGAAATGTCTTCAACAAGCTGATGGGAGGTAACCCTAACACTTATTACATTTATGGTTTATTGGATCTTTTTTCCATGACATTATTCTTGCTTCTTTATTTCTTTGCGTGTCAGTTTCATGCCCATTCATACAGGGGCAGAGAAGGATTTAAGGTTTGTATATTGTGCTGGTAAGCCCCCGTGTTTCTTTCATCTACCTTCATAATCTTATTATTCCTTTTCAGGATTGATATTTCATTATAACCACTTTGATTTTTTTTTAGCTGTTATTTCATCTCTGTTGGATGATTGGAGTGGCATTGATAAAGAGAAAGCCAAGAATTATATATTGAGTTGTCAGGTATATATGTTCACCTTCTATTTCTGATTTTAAACTTTATAAAAAAATAAAATAAATTAATGCATATGGCTTATAAGAAGGTGTTCCCTTGCAGTCATATGATGGTGGGTTTGGACTAATCCCTGGTCAAGAGTCTCATGGTGATAATGATAATAATCTTGTTTCCTTGATTTTATTTTTTTTAGAACTGAAATTTTTTATTAATCATAAATACCATTCTTACTTCTAGACTCACAGGTGGTGCAACTTACTGTGCTGTTGCATCTCTTCGGTTAATGGGATTCATTGAAGACAACCTAATTTCTCAATCCACATCCTCTTGCATCATAGATCTTCCATTGCTTCTAGATTGGTGCTTACAGGTACCACCACACTTCCCATTCCAAGGGCAAATCAGTCATTTTAACTCAAATCATCTTTCTCAATGTTCCAGAGGCAAGCACTTGATGGAGGGTTTCAAGGAAGACCTAATAAAACCAGTGACACCTGTTATGCTTTTTGGTGAGCTCACTTCACTAGTTCACTTTAAGTTTAGAATTCAAATTTGTTATCTG